GACAGGAAGTAGGGCTCTTTTCGCGAAGCTGGGACAGCAGGAGGAAGGGTGAGATTTTAGCTCTGAGCTCTGACCTCTCGGCTTTCTCTTTTACATTGTTTCTGTGTTTCTTATTTAATAAGACGGTTGGTTACATCTACAGAGGCTGGAAGGCAGATTTTTAATCTGGGCTCACCTTCTTCAAGAAGTCACTATATGGACAAGAAGGAATGATGTGCAATCCTTCTTTGCTTGATAGCCCTTGCCTTGCCAGTACTTCTATTTCTTCTCTGGCATTGGAGCCTACTTCTTTGTGATTCCAGTATATCAGAAGACCAGCTTAGATACCCAGTCTCGAAGGACTGAGCAGCTACTAGATTCCCGGACTTTTCATTCACAACTAGCCATTGTTGTAATGCAGCCTGTAAGTTTTTCCAATGAATTCATATATAGAGATACTTCTGTGTGAGAGAGAGAGACTGAAACAGAGAGAGAGAGAGAGAGAGAGAGAGAGAGAGAGAGAGAGAGAGAGAGAGAGAATGACAGAGAGGGGGACAGACAGATACTGAGAGAAACAGAGAGAGAAAGAGAGATTCATTCCATAAGTTCTGTGACTCTAGAGAACCCTAAGACAGTTGTGGTATCTGAGTGGTTCTAGAGAAATGGAAGTAAAAGGATGCATCTTTTAAGTATCTGGAATAGGTTTTTTAATTCACCAGCACCTTCAAACTCAGCAGCACCTTCAGTTTCTGAAGCCTCTCTATTTACTCTGTCTCTTAGAATCTCAGAGAGTACTGAAAGTCCATGGTGCAAACTGTATTTCAAACTTAAAGAGATAAATGTTTTTTAATATCTTTGTTGATCAATAGTGAGTGACTATGGATTTAATGACCCTATTTAGGAACTTTGGACAGCTTGGGAGGAAATGTTGAAAATGATGCTGCTGGTTGGTTACTCTTACTATCTATTGATAAAGGAAAGGAATAAGTGCATTGTAATCTTAATCAACTGCAGGAAAAATGAAGTTAGTGACAAAATTGACCAGATTCAGATGCCAATAAATGGTCTAAGGTTTTCTGAGTGTGCCCAGAAAGAGAATCTTCCCTCCAGTTGTCCCAGAGCTTGAGTTTCAGAAAATCAAACTGAAGCCCTTACTATAAGCTGAAGTGAATTACATCAAAATTTCAAGTCTCAGCCTCAGATAGTGTAGGCAATTGATGTAAGGGCATTAATTGATTAAGAATGGTATCCTATAACTTTGGGTGGGGATGTGTGGGAGGACCCTATTACACCTGAGAACTTGAGTTCTCAGATTCTCAAGGGTTAATCTTACCTGAGGAAGTAGTACCATGAGCCCCAACCCTTGAAATATTGACCTTTCCATATATGACTGAGGAAACTAATTCATCACTGTCTGCTCATTCAGAAGTGACATTTTCTAAAGGCTATCCCAGGCAAGATAGTACTAACATTCCTCAGGGTCCCACCACTAATTGGCTCTAAAACTATAACCAAACTTACAGCAAAGCAGGCTTAAAAAGGACAATAGAAAGTGTAGTCAGTGAGGAAGTGAGCTACAATAGTTAGGAGCTTAATGGGTTTGCTAATTTGTTCAAGCATAAGTCTGAGAATATGTGTGGGAATGGATGTTAGGAGTGCAGGATAATGTTGGAAGAAAATAAAACTAGAGCATGCCGAGTTTACTGATATGGGCCTACTGAGTGGAGATTTTAGGTTTAAGATAGAAGTTCATATATTTAAGGAAAAAGGTATGAAAAGTTTGTTTGAATGGTTGGCTGAAGCATTTATCAAAAGCTGGACTACTGAGAGGGATTTGTTTATGCCTAATATTTCTTAGCTTAGTGTTAATGAAAGGAATTAAAGACTCAGGGAAATTGAAATGCTAGAGTGGGTATTCTGTGTAAAACCCAATCATCTCTAATGGGAAGACCCAGAAGATATGCCCTTCACAAGTCCTATAAGATGCAAACCCGTGGTAGGGGTACCAGGACATTTGAAATGTTTCAATGTCATCCTTGTCTTTGTGCAAAACCTTACTGTTGGTGATCCTGGTGCTCAACTGGACCAATGAAATGCAATGAGTTTAATTGGGCTCCAAGGTAGCAAGGGCCAGGTAGCATCAATGAACTGCCAGAGGCAAGATGATCATTGTTATCATAATAGGCAACATAGACAAAAATAATGTTCATACTGGCCCATCCCATAATTGTCATCACAGGCAAGGTGAATTTTATAGTAGCATGACTCATATGGTGTTTTTAGGCATGAAATAGATAATAATTCTACAGCACTTCTGTTTAATCTGTGTGAGCAGAAAAATTCTCTTAACAAATGAAAGAAAGGCTGCATAGGATCATGTAATAGGCAATCTTGGCCAGTGAATCCATTTCTAGACTTGAGCCAGTTTGAAGACCTAGACCCCCTTGAATGAAGGCCAGGTTCCCCTGAGGAAGGATCCTGATAAGAAAACTAAAATTTGTGCAGATAGCCTTTCCCCAGTTCTTACCCAGAGAGACCAAGGCCTTTTATAAGGGACACGGTAGCTGGGGGGAAGGAAACAATCATACTTTCCAGGGTCTATTGGATACAGATTCTGAACTGATGCTGATTCCAGAGAATCCCAAGAAACATGATGGCCCTCCAGTAAAGTAGGGGCTTATGGAGGCCAGGTGATTAATGGAGATTTGGCTGATGTCTCACTCACAATAGGTCCAGTAGGTGCCCAGATTGATCCTGTGGTTATTGCCCTAACTACTTTGGCATGTCCATTGTTATTGGTTTTGTCTAGCCAACATTTGGGAGGTCATGTTGGTGAGATTTTATAATCATAGCCTCTGATATTGCTAGGTGTGATGGTAATTCTTGGTTATCAAGTTTACTACATCTGAAATGAACTAGAATCCAGAAATGGAGGACATAGCTGAGATACATTATTTTTGCTTATTTGGACATGAATGAATCAACTTTTAGTCTGGAATTTCAGACAGGAAGATAAATGCCATTAATCCACATCTTGAGGCTTAAGGACCTTTGAATAGGATAGAGATGGAAGGCCACACTTTCTGCTAGAAGACTATATGAAGACATAGAAAGAGGAATCATTTTGCTCACTTCCCATTTGTTGGCTCATTTTCTTGCTAGCACATCCATTCCTTCACTGGCATTGGAACCTACTTCTTTGTGATTCCAGCATATACTAAAAACCAGCCAAGACACTCAACCTGTGGACTAAGCAATACTGGATTTTTAGACTTTCTGTTACAGCCAGCCATTGTTGGATTATCTTGACAGCAGCCTCTAAATCATTCTAACAAATTCTCATTTTATATATATAATAAAATATATAAAATAATATATATATTATATATAAAATATAGTGTTTGATATATATCAAATACTAGAGAATATGATGAATACCCTAGTAGAAACAATCTCACAAAAACTCTCTGATCTTCTGCCTCTTTTAATCATTATATCCCTTCTTCATGTGTGTTTTAAAGATGCATCCAGTGGGCCTGGGATCCACAAATCTGCATTTTGATTAGTTGTGGATTTTTGTTTGGGTCTCTGTTGAGAAGAGAAGTTTCCTTAGGAGGGTCAATATTTATCTTACATATGGGTACAAAAAAATATTTAGTTATTTGTTAGGTATTATGATGTTTTAGTAAACTGCTGTTTTTTGTTGTCCTCAAAGATTCATATATTCACCAGCACCAGTAGTGTACACAGTTTTTCATTACCTGTCATTGTTTCACTTTTGTGAAGAGGGTCTTAAGTTCAATGATAGAGTGTTGGTTACTGTTTTATGATACTTTGTGTTCAGACAAATAAAGGTTACCTTGCCGGGCGGTGGTGGCGCACGCCTTTAATCCCAGCACTCGGGAGGCAGAGGCAGGCGGATCTCTGTGAGTTCGAGGCCAGCCTGG